TCCTTTGGTACTAAGTTTTTTTGACATTAATTTATAACATCTATCTACAATTTTATGTCTCAATATTTTTGTGGGTGTTTTTTTAAACCAATTTTGACCTTTACTTCTTTTCCTCTATTTATCATACATTTTTTTATTTTATTTATTTACTTTTAAAATCAATTTTAGGAAATATGACTGTCTGCTTTTTTTGTTGTGTCAACTCTTGGCTCATCGGTCAATTGTGAAGCCTTTTGAAATGCACCTACCTATAGGAAAGGTACAATGCAAAAGTTTGACTGATTAAAATCTATCTTGGATAAAAATGAACACAGCTTACTGTGTTTTACTGACTGTTTCCTTTGCTTTCCTCACAGTTGGTCTGTACTACTGTTTCAACAACCTGTCTGACGCCAGGATCTTCATCATCATGTATGGAGTGACCAGCATGTACTTCTCAGCTGTCATGGTACGTCTGTACATGCTGTACATCAGAGAGCCAGTTATTTTAGTTTACATGGATTCAAGGCTTTATATGTAACATGGGTTGATCCTCAGGTCCGTCTGATGTTGGTGCTGGCCCCAGTTATGTGCATCCTGTCTGGCATCGGCGTGTCCCAGGTGCTAACCACTTACATGAAGAATCTGGATGTGAGCCGGCCAGACAAGAAGAGCAAGAAGCAGCAGGACTCCACCTACCCCATCAAAAATGAGGTAGGAGGTCTGAGGGACTGGTTAGTGGTGGTGTAGCTGTTGGAGGGTGGTGTCAGCTACAGTGAAACATGGACCGTAACTGTTATTTTCTCTTTCCAGTGATGGTCATTTAGTTTTTAGTAACTTGTATTCTACTTGAATATTTCTGCTACTTCATGTTTTCAGCTTTGTCTGTTTTAAATGTTGAGGCTTAAGTAAAAACTACTGAACCGATTTTCACCAGACTTGAGAAGGGATGGGACATGAGCCAGGGAAGAACCCGTTACATACGTTTTTTATCACTTCTCTTAACATTGCAATATTCTCATGTCTGTCTCTGTGAATAATGTGGATCTTCATATACAAAATCAGACATATTAATCATGGTGAGATCTATGAGTTTGAACAATGTTATTCGGATTATTGGACCACATCCGTTTTCCTTTATCTCTTCATTATAAGATCTGGACAGATGTTTGGATTGTTTGGCCCTGGGAGAGGTATTTGAGTACCAATCCAGTTGATTTCAGTTGTCAGAATTAAAGCAGACATACAGAAACCGTAACCCTGTGTTGCTTACCCACCAGGTTGCCAGTGGAATGATTCTGGTCATGGCCTTCTTCCTCATCACATACACCTTCCACTCTACCTGGGTGACCAGCGAAGCCTACTCCTCCCCGTCAATTGTCTTGTCCGCCCGTGGAGGTGACGGCAGCCGTATCATCTTTGATGACTTCAGAGAGGCTTACTACTGGCTCCGCCACAACACCCCTGAGGTCAGTCATAGCCAAAGAAATAAAGAAGTCCTTAAAGTTGTACTGCACTTTTAAATGTTTGAGCTATAAACTAAATTATGACTGTAATACGTTAATGCTGGTTTTAATATCACATTTATTACCAAATTTATTAAAAAAAATCTACCTTAATGGTTTGAACATGTCTCAGAACCAAACCCAGTGTTTCAAACCTTCTTGGACCTTGCAGGGCCAGTGCTTACGTAGAGTCAACAGTTTGAGATGTCTCTTCATCGTGACGTTTTATATATATATATTTAAAAAGGTTAACACCCTCTAATCAAAGGTCAGCAGCCTCCCACCACCAGCGACAGCCTTTAAATGGAAAAGCTGTGCTCGTTTTCACGCAGGGATGAAGTTACACTTTACATCAGGATGCTGACCTATCTGACTCGTGTAGAGATTACACAGTCAAAGCCGTAATGTCGAAGTGTTTCCATTCAAATACTTGAGTTTGATTTTTGTGTTTCCAGGATGCTAAAGTTATGTCATGGTGGGATTACGGCTATCAGATTACTGCCATGGCCAATCGAACCATTCTAGTGGACAACAATACATGGAACAACACTCACATCTCCAGAGTTGGACAGGTGAGCTGGGTAACCTTCAGGGTACCTGTGTTTGTGAAGTGCTGCTGTATTGACCGGGGCTGTTGTTTGTTCTGTAGGCCATGGCATCCACAGAGGAGCGGGCCTATGAGATCATGAGGGAGCTGGATGTCAGTTACGTCCTGGTCATCTTTGGAGGACTGACAGGCTATTCCTCAGATGGTAAACAATTTGGATCATTATGAAACTGTGATGTAAATGTTGTAGGTGTGTCAAATTAAATTATTCCCCTAGCCATAACAACTCTTGTACATATATAGTTTCTGCTGCATTGACCCCACAGTTTTACATACGTTTATATATATAAATACGCACACAGACACCTCCCATTCTTTTTTAAGTTTAGTGCGTATTAATTATGGATTTGTACAAATTTGCCGTACTAGAAATTGGTCCACATCAGTAGGATTTCGTAATGACAGCAATTTCACAAATATTGTATTGCTTTGTCATTGAAAATGTCATTGTAAAGTAAAAATATAATTATTTCTAAAGGAATTTTTTATAAATACTCATATAATCCATTTTTTTTTCATCACAGACATCAACAAGTTCTTGTGGATGGTCAGAATTGGTGGAAGCACAGACACAGGCAAACACATCAAGGAGCACGACTACTACACTCCCACTGGAGAGTTCAGAGTGGACCGCGAGGGCTCGCCTGTCCTGCTCAACTGCCTAATGTACAAGATGTGCTACTACCGCTTCGGCCAGGTCTACACAGAAGCCAGTGAGTGACTCTACAGCCTGTTCGTCATTGTGCATTAGCCATTTTATTCTCTCGCTGTCAAATATGTAATGAGAATTAGCCCTGTGTTAAGTAAATAAGGCTGGTGAGTGCAGCTCCCAGACATGCACTGAACCCGGGATAATCCCCTGACGTTTTCTTGAGGGGCTGTATGTGAGAAGACAAATGTCTGAGTCGGTTGCTGCAGACTCTCACCAGAGTTTCTCTAGGCCTCTTCATTAAAACGTTTCTAACACAAGACAGACGTGAAAAAAACAACAACAAATATCTCAGACGAAGATGTCAAGAGAGCTTTTGGTGACGCCAGTTTTGATGTGCTTCAAATGCATCTCCACAGCAGAAGTTATATTTTACATCCTGCATGCTGCGTCACCTCTCACCTGAACGCTCCAGAGATTTCTGTGCTGTCGTGAACGGAGAATTTACTGCTTTGTTCATGTGTGAAAGGCAAACTCCGGAGAAAGCCATGACCCGATTTTGCAAACAGTTCAGTTCATGTCTGAAAACGGCTTCAGTGGAAACTACTGTATGAAAGATTTCCAAGACCAGGCACTGCTGTATCAGCTCCTGAGCTGACTGCACCGTCGGCAGAAACAACATCAGATAATGAATGCATTAATATGAACTTTCAATTTAGTGTAATTGGTGTCAGAATGAATTTTGTGCTTTAATTGTGATGATTTTCTCTGCAGAGCGTCCACCTGGTTATGACAGAGTGAGGAACGCTGAAATCGGAAACAAAGACTTTGAGCTGGATGTGTTGGAGGAGGCCTACACGACAGAGCACTGGCTGGTTAGGATATACAAGGTAATGCTGCCGGTCTCCTTTCTTTACTTGTTTAAGATCAGGACTTTTGAAACATTTGGGAAATGTACATAATCACAAGTAACACACAGTAATGTACAGATTGAAGGTTCAACACAAGTTTGAATTATAACGTTTATTTACATCATAAAACTGGAATTAGGTTGGCAACAATTTGTCCATTAATACATTGGGAACATAAATGTCTATACTTATCTAATTATTTCTATACTACACTTATCTTGGTAATTGATTAATCGAGTGAATAAAGTTTTCAATAAAGAATCTGAACTACTGTCTTTATGCAAAAACATTGTATGTAAGATGCATTTCAACAGAACTTTATAACCTTGTCCTGTGTTCCACCTTGTAGGTGAAAGATCTGGACAACCGAGGTCTCTCAAGAACATAAAACCTTCAGATGGCAGTGAAGAGTCTTTTAGCGCACAGCACTGAACACCTTCCCCTGTGGTCTGCAGATGAGTGGGAAAAGAGTACTTTTTTATACTTTTTGTTTCGGGGAAGAAAATTGCATCAGAGATTTTGTTTTGTGGATGATTTTTTTTTTCTTTTGTTATAATGAAATGTCTCATCTGGGATCAGAGGAAGCTAGTGTCAAAACATCCAGTCTGATGTCAGGAGTTCGCCATGAAGCGGTCAAAAGAAAGTGCTGTTCATTTGAGCACTTTAGATTTTTATAATCTGGTCAATTAAAGTGGGATTAAACGTGAAAAAATGTGATTTGTTGTCTTTTGTTTTTCCTCACAAAAGAAATGTACTGAATAATTTGGAACATCTGAAGCTGATATTCTGTTGTTTAATCACAATAGTGAAATATTGTTATTGGGAAATTGTTTTTTGGAAAATCTGTACTCATCTCCTGATTACTGGAGTTGACCAAATCTCGGAGCCCATCATCGTTTTATGATGAATTAGCCTCAGGAAGCGACGGCCAATATTCAGGTCCAGACGCATTTAGGCTAATCTATAAACAGCTACAGCTCATATGAATATTGATGAATGAGAAAGCATATAGTTGATTCATTCCTGTTCTGCTCTGAACATTTACCTGTGACAACCAAAGCCTGCTCAAATGTGATTGGTCAAACTAGAAACTGAATCCAGAGGACCTTTCCTCCAGATCCTTCATATGCACCTGCAGAATCTGTGCAGAGCCCAAGGCTGACTAAAATCAAGTGGCTGCTTTCTCCACTTAGTGTTTTTTTTATACTTGTGTTGTCGGCCATTTTGCCTCACCCACTCCTGGAAAAATAGTTTAGTGAGGAAAAAATATCTTGTTATGTTTCTGGATCCTCACCTCTTGATATTTCCACATTTATCAAAAGTTCAGAAGGCTAATATGAAAGCACAACTGATTATAATAAGGCAATACTTTATTGTAGTGCATTTTGCAAAATGTATATCAACTTTACATTAAAGTAAAAGATATTAGAATTAAGTCTTTACAGAATAATTAGACATGAGTGGTGTGTTTGCACCTCAGTATAATAAAATTCAATGAGTGTTAAAATTCCTTCAACAAATGCATATTAGTAACACAATCTTAACATTAGTATTTAATGTCCATTAGCCCCCGTCTCTTCTTTTAGTAACAGTTAAAGTACAGAGCTCCTCACAGCCTGGGATGGTCTGGCAGATCTTCTAGAAGAGCAGGGTTTTTTCTGTAGATGTAGGCATTGGGATCATCGTCCAGCTTCACCAGCTCTGCCAGTGATGACACGCAGGGGTCACGGTCGACCAGCATCATTGGCAGGTGGGAGGATTTGCGCTGGATGCGCGTGGATCGACGAACCGGTGTCAGAAACTTCAGATCTTTGATGTTGCCCTTATTCCTGGATGAACTGACCTCACCTTCGATTGTCCTCTTGACGCTACACGCAGAAGATATTTTACGGGTGAAACAAAATACTATCACAAGTGAAAACAAATCACCTTTTGGCAATTTGATGAAACAGCTGATTCAAATGATTTGACTAAAGAATATTCTCACCTTTGCAAGTATGGAGTTGTCTTCACACTGTATTTTACTACTGAAGCATCCTGCATCTGTGGTGTGGTCTCCACCACGTCATCATTATCAGTTTCGTCATCGTCGTCACTTTCTAATTCCTCTTCATCTGTCTCCACTTTGTGTTGAACTCTTTCTTCTGCGTCATTCTTCACCTCTTCTTTACATTCATCTGTCACTTCACCGTCCTCTGTTACATCAGTACACTCTGTCACCTGTGAGGCTTCGTATGGAGACAAAAAATAAGTCTGTAAATTTGCGCATCTGTGTAGAACTGAATTTACTCAAGTGTGAGACTGAACAGCAAAACATAAACTTACCTTCACTGCATCTGGAGGGAGTCGCCATTGCCTCCAGAGCATCACACAGGTTCACAACAATCTGTCATTACAGGAAATAAAGAAAAGATGCAGGTGTGTGACTGGGGGGGAGGTAATATTTTAAAATGCAGCTAAAGCAGCAGAAACTGTTGCCTTACATCATCCACACTGTCCTGTGGGTCGACAGGCAGATCTACGTCTGACATCAGCAGCTCCAGTGTGGCGTTGATGATCTTGGGAGTTTGGTTGCATGTTGTCATCGCTGCTTCCTGTGTATCTGTGCAGTCAGCTGCAGTGGAGTCTGCTTTAGGTGCTTGGGTTTCAGGTTTGCACTGTGCAGCGGGCCGAGGTTCAGCACGAGACTGGGATTTGAGATCCGCTCCGGGTTTGGAGGCGTTGGTTTTAGGAGGTGCTGCTGTGGTCATGGCCGGTCTCTTGAACGTCTTGCCCTTGGAAGCCAGCCACTCAGCCAGTTTTGCTCTGCAGACAAAACACAAAACATTTTTAGGCTGTTTCCGATGCACAGGGCAGACATGAAGTGCGTGCGTGGAATGTAAAATGTTACCTTCTTTCCTCAGTGGTCTCCGTGGTTAATCGGTACTGACTGAGGTTGCTTGAGACTGCAGGTTTGTTGACCTTGTCTTTCACTGGAATCTTTGGCTTGGAGCTCAGTGACCCACTTCCCTTGGCGGCGGTCACAGTGGGGTTTCTGGATCTGGTGGCTGGGACGGTTCTGGTAGAAGGGCGGGCAGAGTAGAATCCAGCAGGAGGGCGGCTGGTGACAGCAGGCCTGGACACCTGGGCAGGTCTATCGAACGCTGACTTGGACACGGTTGGTGCGGGTTTTTTTGTGCCAGGTGCAGGTAAGTCAGAAACAGATTTGGACCTTATTTTTTTCACATTCTCAACCCTTTGTCTCTCAGCTTTTGGCACCAATGGTTTGATGTCTGCCCTGTCCAGACTAGTAGTTGACTTCCAAATGGATCCTATCTTCGACTCAACAATCTTTCCTTTGTACATGCCAGGAGCCGATCTGGAGGACAGCGCTGCAGCTGGTCGCTTTGGAGCTTCTGCAGCTATTTTTTTCTGCTTCACAGCCTGCTCTGAGAGGAAGGCCCGGCTGAGAGTTTGTCGTCGTGCAACATCAGAAGCAGCAGCTCCTCTCCCGTCTTTCTGCGCAGTCTTTGACTTTTTTAGAGCATCACTGCATGTGGACCTTGTGTCTGCCGGTTTGGCCTTGGGTTTAAGAGGACCATGATTTGCTGAGATCTCCTCTTTTCCGTTGATTTTCAGATGAAAGGGAGCCACAGGCTTTTTATCTCTCTTGATGAGGGATTTGCTTCCATGTGCAGGCTGAGCATTCTCCTTGTTTCCCTAATGAATGTCAAACAATGACACGATTATGCAGGCAGGGGACACTCTGAAGTACTCATTAATCAACCCACCATGACAATCTTTTAATGTGATGTTCACTGACATAAACTTACTTTATTTGTGCACTTTCGACTTGAAACTGCGACGTTTTCCATTCTGGAGCGTTTTCTGGAAAATGAAGAAGGCAATAAATACGATAAAACTACAACTGTGAATGAACCGAGTCATTTAGCATGTCATGATTATAGTTGAAAAATATATTGTAATCTAAAAGTTCAAATTGTGCCGATATTAAGCAGCTGATCGCGATTTTTTTCAACGAAAGAATAAATAAAGCAATGGGCGATTGGGCGAAACGTTCTCGTTGCTCCCAGCGCAGAATTAACGGACATGAAGGGAAACAGGGAGTGTTGTCGGTACGGAGCATTAGCTGTTATCACCTGTATTACTTATACATCCAGTACATTCACGTTAACGACAGAGTGTTAACTTACCGGCTGTGGTTGTCTGTAGGACAGCACGAGGAGGCAGCTCCGGATCAGTGACACTCGCTCCTCTGATCGCGGAAAAACAAAACTTCGATTTGACTTGGCGCTGCTGCGCTGCGATTGGCCGCGCTAGTATCGCGAGAGAGCGGGGGTGACCAATAGGATGTCTCCACAGAGAGGACGAGAGTTGGAGAACAGGCGCATTTCTCATGATCGCACAACTTTTCACTGCTTCTGTTCAAATGTTTGAAAGCAAATAGGATTCCAGTGATACCGGTCCCCTGCTCACAGCTCCACCCAGGGTGTGACCGCCGGGACTCGGCCTCAGCTCTCAGTAAACACCGCTGGAACCTCCATCAGCGGTGATTCTCAGGATCCATCACGTGTTCGTTTCACGGTGCTTTATGAAGGGAGAGAAGCAGAAGACGAAGAAAATGTTGATGAGAAATATGAAGTAGAATACTCCTCTAATTATTATTTGTAAT